ACCCCCGGGAGAACGTGCATTGAAGAAAAAGCAAAAACTTGTATTTGAGTATTTAAATTGTTTTTCGAACAGAGCTTTGTATATTTGAAGCTGTTTCACACATTTTTCGATTTGTCTCACAAGTGTGACGTTTCGAAAGTACGGCAATGCTTTGAAAGCGCTTCAAATATACAAAACTCTATTCGAAAGACAATTTAAACACTGAAATACAATTTTAGCTCTTTCATTCATGCCAAAAAAAGCGCAAAGCTGTTACTTTCGAAACGTCGCGGAGCCCTAAAAACGAGCCAGAACTCAGAATCGAAAATATTCCCTTTTAGAAATCTAAAAACTTGAAAATTTTTCATTATTTTCAGTCACGAATGGGAGACAGTGGCGATGGCTGCCTTCAAAAAGTACCCCAACCCGTTGAATCGTGCCGTCACGGGCATTGATGTGGTGAAACAGACACTGGAAGCCGGCAAAATATTAACAGAACGAATCATTCAATCACATTTCAGTATTCCCAGTTGGGCGACGAAGGTAAGACACGCTGAAATCGGATGGAACATCGATTTTTCAAGGGTTTTTTAGGCCTGAAAATGTGGAAAAATGCTAGAAAAGTCGGGGGGTTTTTCAACTCAAAAATGTGCAAAAATCGACTTTTTTGGCCGAAAAAAATCGATTTTTTCAGTCATTTCTAACTCAAAAAAGTTGTGGAAAAATGACGATTTTCAGCTCAAAAATGTGTGCTGGAAAACCCTATTTTTCCAGCAACAAATCTCAATTTTCAGCTGACTGGCTTCTCTGGCACCCAATATTCACACGAGTACACTGTCATCGATCCACACAGGAAGGAATTCTCGCTGACGACCAGAAACGTAAGAAAATCTGATAAAAATGACCCAAAAATCATGAAAATTGAGCCAAAATTTCATTAAAAATGACCCAAAAATCATGGAAATTGAGCCTAAATGAGCCTAAAATTTGCGAAAATCCCGAATTTTCAGTCAAAAATGTTAAAATTTGGGTCAAAAATCCAAAAATTCGTGTCAAAAATCCCAAATTTCGGGTCAGAAATCATGAATTTCAAGTCAAAATCTCGAATTCCCGGCTATTTTCAGCCATTTTAGGTCGATTTTCAGTAATTTTGAGTCAAAAATCACGATTTTTGGGTCAGAAATCCCGATTTTTGAGCCCGAAATCCTGAATTTCAAGGCAAAAATCCTTAATTTTTGGGTCAAAAGTCCCTAGTTTTGAGTGAAAAAACCGAAATTTGAAGCCAAAAATCTCGAATTCCCGGCTATTTTCAGCCATTTTAAGTCGATTTTCATGAATTTTCGGGCAAAAATCACGAATTTTAGATCAAATTTCGGAAGTTTTGAGTCGAAAATCCCAAAGTTTGAGCTATTTTCAGCCGTTTTAAGTCAAATTTCACGAATTTTAAAGGAGGATTCCGGGCAAAATAAGTTTAGGGTTCAATCGATGCAAAATTGCATGCTGATTCCGAATATCACAATAAAAACGAAAAAAAATGCTTCTGAGTCTCAAAAAACGTCATCAAAGTTGCAAAAAAGTTATCCCTCGTGGCCTAACTTTTCACGTAAACAGTGCAAAAATTGAAATCCACGTGGAAAATCGACAAAAGTTCGGCCACGAGGGATAACTTTTTTGTAACTTTGACGGCGTTTTTTGAGCTTTAGCGGCATTTTTGAGCATTTTCATTGTGATATTCGGAATCAGCATGAAATTTTGCATCGATTGAACCATAAACTCATTTTGCCCGGAATCCTCCTTTAAGTCACTTTTCCAAAAATCTGGCTCAAAAATCACGAATTTTAAGCCAAAAATCTCGAATTTCGGGCTATTTTCAGCCATTTTTGGTCGATTTTCACTAATTTTGAGTCAAAAATCACATTTTTGAAGCTAAAATCACGAATTTTGGGTCAAAAATCACGAATTTTTGAGCCCGAAATCTTGAATTTTAAGCCAAAAAGCACGATTTTAAACCATAATTCATGATATTTATGCTCAAAATCACCAAAAATCACGAATTTTAAGCCAAAAATCTCGAATTTTGGGCTATTTTCAGCCATTTTTGGTCGATTTTCATGAATTTTGGGCTAATTTCAGCCGTTTTAGGTCGATTTTCATGAATTTTGGGTCATTTTCAGCCTACTTCAGTCAAAAATCGATCGTTTTCAGCTCAACGGCTCGTCGTTTCTTCGAGTCGACGAAAAGCTGACATATAAACCCGACCAAGAGGACCCAAATAAGACAGTTTTGAAGCAGGACGTCATTGTGACAATCACTCTGCCGGCATTCGCGGACTACTGTGAAAAGACGTTTTTGAGCATTTATTCACAGAATGCTAGTAAGGTAAGTGACGAAATTTGGGGGATTTTTAGGCTCTAAAAATCGATAAAATGAGCTATTTTTACCACGCTAAAAATCGATAATTGTAAGCGGAAAATCGATAAAATCGATAATCGATTTTCAGGGTCGTCAAGGTGTCGAATGGGTGATTGACAATTTGAAGAAGGAATACGAGGAGATTTCGAAGAAGGTGAGCATTATTCTAGTACAAAAAAAAACAAACAAATCTGAGAAGGTCCCACAACAACGATAGGTTACTGTAGTTGTCGTACGGTATTAAAGGCGCACAGAACGTTCGAAAAACGCTCGAAGAACAGTGAAATCAACAAAAATGTGATTTTTGTAATGATATCAACTGATAGGTCTGATATGATGGGAATCATCAAAATCATTGAATTGCGCAGAGAACAAGCATCATCTAGAAAGACAGTTCAATTTGCGAAAAAATTTCAAAAAATCGTCTTGCTAGCCGATCCATAGACTTGTAACTTTGTTCATAGACAATTACAGTATCCCAGCTAGTATCATTTTGTAGGGCTCGTCGAGTTCTACCGTATTCCATTCAGATGGTTTAAAAATATCAAACTTGAAGGGAATTATGGTCCGGTAAAAATCTTGGGATGATTTTTGGGATGAAACGGGCCTAAAACAGTCCGGATTGTAACTTTCTTCAAACGCAATATTTTTGGGACCAACTGAACTAGATATGGTAGAAGGACTCAAACGCTACAATGTTATACTATTTGGGATACTGTAGCTAGTCTATGAACAAAGTTATAATCTAAAAACCAACTGAGCCACGCGGTCACTGGTTTTTGGCTTGTCACTTTGCGCATAGACAAGCTACAGTAACCCAAGTACAATCATTTTGTAGGGCTCACTGAGTTCTACCGTATCCAGTTTAGTTGGTCCGAAAATATTGGGTTTGAAAAAAGTTACAGTCCGGACTGTTTTAGGCCCGTTTCATCACAAAAATCATCCCAAAATTTTTACCGGACCATAATTCCCTTCAAGTTTGATATTTTTGAACCAACTAAATGGGATACGGTAGCATTCAAGAAGCCCTACAAAATGATACTAGCTGGGATACTGTAGCTTGTCTATGAACAAAGCTACAAGTCTTGAAAACTGTGATCGCCTAGCTCAAATGGTTTTTAGCTTGTAACTTTGCTCATATACCAGCTACATTATCTGAGAAAGTACTAATAAGAATCGGAGACGGTAGAACTCAGTGAGCCTTACAAAATGATGCTACTTGGGATACTGTAGCTGGTCTATGAGCACAGTTATAATCTAAAAACCAACTGAGCCACGCGGTCACAGGTTTTTGGCTTTTAACTTTGCGCATAGACAAGCTACAGTAATCCAAGTAGTATCATTTTGTAGGGCTTCTTGAATTCTACCGTATCCAATTTAGATGGTCCAGAAATATTGATCCTAGAAGGAGATACGGTATTTTAGGAAATTTGAAAAAAAATTACATTTTTCGCTTTTTTTTTTCGCCGTTTCAAGTCGTCATATCATGTTTTATCAGAATTGGAAAATTTTGAAATTTCGGCTAGTTTTTGGTGATTTTCAGTCATTTTCAGCGCAAAAAATTGTCTTCCAGGTCTCCTCAGAAGTACACGAAATGTCGGAAAAAATGCGCCATTGGAGTATCCCATCGACGTCTTCTGGTCCGTCGTGCACATCTTCTGCTTCAACGTCTTCTGGTGGACCAACGACATCGTCGTCGTCAAAATCTCAATAGTTCTTGTTTTTTTGTTTCTCTCCGAGATTGTTTAGCTTCAGATTTCTTTTCTTTTTGCATCCATTTTTCCCTCTAATTCTCGAAATTTCTCTATCTCGTTCTAGGCTTCACTTTTCTTTATGATGCTTTATTTTCAGCCCGAAAAATTGCCCTTTTTTCTTCCATAGCATTGCAATTTTCGGGTTTCTCTCCACTTGTTTTTTCTGTCCCATTTCTCTGACAATTAAGGATTCCATTTCGGTCGGTCGAAAATCGCCGACCGCCGACCGACCACCGACCGAGCTGACCGATTTCGTGCCTTTGCGCATAAAAACACGAATTTTTGCGTACGAAGCACTTTATTTTACGACAAACGAGGCTTTTAGTGAGTAGTTTGTCGTAAAATACAATGCAGCGTATGCAAACACGTTGACGCGCAAATGCACGGAAACGGTCGGATGTCGGTCGGTCGGCTAAATTGATTTCCCGACCGAATGGAAGCCTTACTGACAATTTCCACCACACCGCGCCCCTTCCCTTCTCCGAATGTGATCTTTACTTTTTGTCGCTTTTCCGGTTTTTCAATTTTGTTTTTCTTCGAAAATAATAAAAATTTGGACACGAAAATCTCGATTTTTCAGACATTTTCAGATTAAAAAATATCAAGAAAATTGGTTGAAAAAAAGGTGGCCTAGGAACCCTAAAATGCTAGGCCACCAGTAGATTTTCGGTCTTTTTAGACGTATTCAATGAATTTTTCACGTTTTCAAAGCTTGAAATGTCTCGAAATCGCTGAAAACCTTCAAATTTACACAAATGGCCTAGAAATTGGACAAGTTAGGCCACCAATTCATTTCTAGGTCATTTCGCTTATTTCTAATGATTTCGGTCTTTGTTTCCATTATTTTGAGTGTTTCAAAGCATCTGAAATATCAAAAAATGCTCAAAATTAAAAAAAAACCCAAAAAATCGCATAAGTGGCCTAGGAAATGCAAAAGTTAGGCCACCAGTAGATTTTAGCTTATTCAGACTAGTTGACATGGTTTTGACGCGAATTTTCACTTCTCAAAACGCAGAAAATGCCAAAACAAACTGTAAATTTTCCAAATTAGACGAATGGCCTAGAAATTGGAAAAGCTAGGCCACCAATTCATTTCTAGGTCATTTCGCTGTATTTCGGATGGTTTCAACGCTATTTTTTACATGTTTTGAGTGTTTAGAAGCGTTAGAAGTTACAAATGACCAAAAATAAAAAAAAAATAATGCTAAAAACACGAAAAAGCATACGGTGGCCTAGAAACTGCAAAAGTTAGGCCACTAGTGTATTTTAGATGTTTCAGACTAATTTACGCGGCTTTGACGCTATTTTTCTAACTTTAAACCGCATTAAATGATGGAAAACACTGCAAATTTTTTTTTGGAACCTCTTTTTTTCAGAAAATTTTTGGCTCAAAATTTGAGTCTTTTTTCTGGTTTAACCCGCAAAAAAAGGAAAGGTAAAATGTTTCAAAAAATGTTTCCAATGAATAGAAAATTTGGTCCGAAAAAGTGTACAAAATTGGGAAATTTTCTGACAACTACACACAAAGAAAAGGCTGAGATTTCATTTCAAATTCCAAATCTTTTTCATGTCTCTTCCATGCATATTGAATCTGTCTTCTTCTTTCACTCCTACACGACACACGTCTTCTGAATCTGTCAACGTCTTCTGAATTCGCGAAATTCGAAATTCAATTTATTTTGCTCCTTTTTCTTTTCTTTGCAGCGCGAAAACTTTCGCAATTTCTAGGCCCGAAACAGTTGTTCTACCGTAGGACTCGATTCAAAATAATTTAAAATTTAAAATTCAGCAAAAAAAAGAGCTTCAAAATGAGCCTAAAGATGCCTAGTGTTGGTGGCCTAGCTTTCCCAATTTCTAGGCCATTCGTGTAATTTTGAAAATTTACAGTGTATTTTTGTCATTCTCTACGTTTTCAAGTGTGAAAAAGTGCGCTGAAATCGTTTAATATATTTTAAAACCAGAAGACTTAAAAAATCGAAACAATATTTTTTCGAATATTTTTTCGTTTTTTGACCGTAACTCTTTTAAATTTAGACAGAAGTCAAAATAGTCTAAAAATGCGAGTTCTGCAGAAAAAGAGCTTCAAAATGAGCATAAACACGACTAGGTTTGAAGAATGTCGAATTTTCGAAGTTGGTGGCCTAGCTTTTGCATTTTTTAGGCCATTCGTGTAATTTTTGAGACGTACAGTTTTTTTGGCATTTTCTGCGTTTTGAGAAGTAA